AAGTTTCCTGTTATTTTTGGGCGCTACAGGTAAAGTCTTGACGAGTTTGTCGCGGGTCTGGGGGAGTTTCAGCCCCCACCCCTTCTCCTCCTCCTCCTCTCTGTCTCTCTCTCTCTCTCTCTCTCTGTCTCTCTGTCTCACTCCGTCTCTCTCTCCCTCCCTCCCTCCCTCCGCAGCGAAATCCAGGCTTTAGTCCTCCCGACACTTCAGCAGCCGCGTTCTGCTTTGAAGCGTCGAGCTCTCACGCTAAAGCGAGAGTTGACTCCTCCCACCCTAAGAAAACAGGAGGGGAGGGGTCAGCTGAGCTCCTGTGCAGCGGAGCACAGAGAGGGAGAGAGACGAAGTAAACAAACAAGCAGGAAAATGAAACTTATCGCCGTCTTTTTTTTACCGACCTCAAAAAAAGTTATCGTGTAATTAATTGATTTATTGTCTATCGCGACAGGCCTATATATGGTATGAAATTACATTAAGAATTTTTAAAATCATTAAAGCACATGTTAAAAAAAAAGGTAGTAGGTCCTCTGGACTGGTTCGATGTGTAATACATCGGGGGAACAAAATAGCTACTGTTCAAAAGAATGGTCCAGCACAGACAAGCAACATCATCAGGTCAGGACTCTGCAGTTTACACTCATCTACAGTCCAGCGGTCACTCTTTCAGTGATGAAGATGTTCTCAGCCTTGGACGGGTCTGATGACATTGGTTTGAGAGAGGAGTAAAGTAAGCCATTTCTGTGAAGAAAAACCATTAAACAGGGGTGGAGGCCTTCATGCCCAGTTGTCCCACTCCTACAATGCTGTTATTGCAGGTATGACTCAGACCCCTGTGAGCAATAGGTGTGAATTGGGGCCCCAACGATAGCCATGAGATGGGGCACATTTTACCCTCTGTGAACAATAGTGTTAATCAAGGCACTAACAATCTATTGTTTGGCTGATGATCATCTTGCATGTGAACAACCTGTTTGTCCACCATGTGGAGGCAGTGCTTATAAGGCTGAGTTCTCCTGAAACTCATCAGGCTGAAGAAGTCTTTTGAAAGTAAGACGAAATGTTTCATTAAAGAAGGACGCTTCCAGAGGATCTACTTATTTTTCTTTCTAATTTTTCTACCTGGATTACTGAGATGCATCAGGACACTGTCATCTGTTCATAAGTTATGTGAACCTTCCAGGGCTGGACGAATTGGTCATAGTTATTGTAATAATCACCGTCAATCTGTTTGCACAGGCTGAACTGGGAGAAATGGAAAACTGGCAAGAGGACACCAATGCCTGGGAGGACGAGTCAGATGCTGCCTGGGAGGCAGAAGAGGTGCTCAGGTAACCGTTCAGGATCTGTCTGGGTTTTCGTAGTTCCACATTTTAGGATAGATTTTTATAACAGAACATTATTTAAACTTGTTTTCTAGAAACAGATTTTGAAAGTCACATATAAATAACGACTCATCTTTATTGAATGTAAATGTAAAAGTTATTTGTAAAGTTTTTTTTGTTTGTTTTGTTTTGTTTTTTAGTGTACTTTCTCATTAGATTTCCTCCTGTGAAGGCCCTATTTAATGCATAGAAAATATCAAAATAATCTTGAGAAAAAGAAGAGTGGAGTTTAAACAAGTGAAAATATGTTTTTGGTATAAACAGCTTTCGTGTTCTATTACATAGAATCTGTAGATGTATTTCATGTTCAGCAAGTGACAGCATGCACCAAATTTACTGCCTACAAAATTGGTAAAAGGAATTAGGATTCTTGTTTTCCTTCAGTCTTAGCTGATTTGACTTAAGCAAAAACATTGTGCCATAAAACTGTTTGAATTCATCTTGCCTTTTTTTTCAACAGGCAACAAAAGTTGGCTGAGAGAGAGAAGCGGTTCATAGAGCAGCAGAAGAAAAAGATGGAGAAAGAGGCTCAGAGAATGTTGAAGAAGGAGCAAAAGATTGCGGTCAAACTTTCATAACATTTTAAAAAGCTCAGTTTTGAGCCAAAGAAATCAGTGTGGAGCAAAGACTATATTTATCATTATATTGTCTTTAAAATCAAACCAACAGGATCGTTATTGGTCACTACGTAACTGTTCGTAAATTGTCCTCCTGTTTCCAACAGCAGCCATTTTGGTCTGTTTCCCACCTGCACTTTTAAAAAATTCATCAGTCTTGAGAGCAGGTGATGCACCTGTTTTACTGTTTTAGGCAACATCTTTAAGAAAGAGTCAGTAACATCCATTCCATCTTAGAGTAAAGGTAAAATACAGCTTTATAATCTGATTGAACTTGGTTGGTAATTAAATGTTATTTTTCCCCAGGAACATTTGTAAATAAACAGATATCTCTGCCACGTTTTGAAGCTCTGATATCTAATAAATTGCCTTTATTTGGCCTTCTTCTTTTGGCCTTCAATATAAAAATGGAGTGTAATTTATTTTATCCATCACTGTAAACCAATGACATCCTTTGGTTTGCAGATTATTGTATTTTTATATTTATGTTTGTCATGGTCAGAAAACAATTTTTTTTCTAATGAGTAATTCTTGATGTTTCACCTTCATCTCCTTGTGCTGTATAGCTTTTACTACACTGGAGGTTTGCATTATAACAAAGAGATTTGTAAACTAAACTTGCTATGTATAAATATCGATTAGTATCAAGCCTACATATGAAATATAGCTGTGGGTTCCTATGGTTACCTCATGGCAGTTGGTTTACTATTAAATTATTCAACTCTGTTATTCTTTATTATTGAATAACACTATACAGTGATTGGTGCATTTTTATGGCAAAAGGAACAATTTAATTCAAAAGGATTTCAGACCAATAAACCTGGCTGGACAGGGGGTTTTCTGAACAAAACTGGGATTTCTCTTTAGATTTTTTTCCATAAATGAATTTTTGGTACTTGAATGAGGGAAAATTGCTTCCGGTGTCCATGCTGTCATGGAAATATGCCATGCAAAAAACTGAAATAACTAGACATGTTTTACAGAACTGTTGAAAACAGTTTTTTTTTTGTTTTTGTTTTTGTTTGTTTTTTGTTTTGTTTTGTTTTGGTTTTTTGCTCAGTGTTGCTAAACATTTGCAGGTCTCTGTATTTTCTGCTTCTTATTAAATGATTCAGTAAATACTCAAATGTACCGATTTCTGTTAATCTACTTGATTAGGTGATTATTAAGTGCAAAACCAGTGTTAAGAATCAACTTGGTCAAGGTTGTTGTTTCAAGGAAAATCGGCAAAAAAAACTATTTGTAAATTCTGGGTGGGCGGGGTTTGTTTCGTTTTATTTTTTATTTTCTTTTTTTTTCTTTTTTTGCAAAAATGGCTTTGTTTCAACATTTTTGCTTTTCTTTGTCTAAAGAAATCAGTTATGACCTATTTTTATTGTGTTCATGCTAAAATGGTGGTAGTTTCAAATATGTAGGGACTTTTATTGATGAGTCTACAATTTTGACAGATCTGACATCTGCTGTACTGGTCCTCAACAGTTTTTTTATTTTCCGTAATAAAACTATTGACTCAGATATAGAGCTGAAAAACTTTGTGAAACACTTCTCTAAACTACATAAAGGCATCTTTTCGGGGGAAATTTTAACACAATTCGTTAACGTTGTAATAAACAAGTTCAAGCTATTGATTCGATTCAATTCAAAATACTTTACCCCCAGAAGGAAATTAGATGTAACTTATTTAACTAAGGAGTTATTGTAGATGCTGATCTTCTGTAGCTGTCTGTCAGGTCAAGGTTTTCCATAATGTTGTTGATTTTATGTAAAATCCTACTTTGCTCCATTGGCTGTGGCAAAGTGGTTAGGGGATTCGTCCTGTAACCGGAAGGTCGCCGGTTCGATCCCCTGTCCAGCCGCTTAAGACGTTGTGTCCGTGGGCAAGACACTTCACCCGTCTTGGCTACTGATGGTGGTCAGAAGGTCCGGTGGCGCCGGTGCATGGCAGCCCTACCTCTGTCAGTGTGCCCCAGGGCAGCTGTGACTACATTGTATTTTGCCATCATCAGTGTGTGAATGTGAGTGTGAATGGGTGAATGTCTGTAGTGTAAAGCGCTTTGGGGTCCAGAGGGACTTGATAAAGCGCTCTATAAGTTCAGTCCATTTACCATCATTTCTACAGTCATCCCCAGGACAAAACTAGCCTTCTTTATCAGGTTGTTTAGCCTTTTTAGGTCCCTGGCTCTGATGCTGCTACCCCAACAGATGATGGCAAAGGAGATGACACTCTGAACAACAGACTTTTAGAAGATCTGCAGCATCTTGCTGCTGACATTGAAGTAGCTTAGTAGAGTCTGCTCTTTCCTTTCTTGTAGACTGCTTCACTGTTGAGTCTCCAGTCTTTTGTTCAGATGTACACTAAGATATTTATATTCTTCAACCACCTCCACTTCTTCTCCCATAATGGAAATAGAGTTTCATCTAACACTTTCTCCTGAAATCTACAATCATCTTTGTTTTGTTCCCATTCAGGATGAGATGATAGTTCCCACACCATGCCACAAAGTGGTCCTCCAGCTCTCTGTACTCAGCTTCCTGTCCATCTAAGATACACCATCTGCAGAGTCATCTGAGCATTTTTGTAGATGACAGCAGTCTGACTTGTGCTGGAAGTCTGAAGTGAACAGTGTGAAAAGGAATGGGGCAGTACAGTCCCCTGTGGTGCTGCTGACCACCTGGTTAGACACACAATCCTTCAGTCTCATAAACTGTAGTCTATTTGTCAGGTAGTCTTTTATCCAGGCGATTGTTGAGACCTCCACCGGAGTCTTCTGGAGTTTCAGACAAAGCAACTCAGGCTGAATTGTGTTAAATACACTGGAGAAATCAAGAACATGATCCTCACAGTGCTGCCTGCTTTGTCCAGATGACAGTGAATTTGTTGAAGCAGGTGTATAATGGCGTCTTCAACTCTACGGTGATAAACAAACTGCAGGGATCCTGATGTGTGCTTATTTGCTTACTCAGGTGGGTCAACAGGAGTCTCTCTAGGACCTTCATGATGTTGGATGTCAGGGCAACAGGTCCATAGTCACTGAGGACTGATGGGTGAGTTTTTCTTTGGTACCGAAACCAGACAGGACGTCTTTCACTACACGGAACCTTTTCTTGGGTCAAGCTAAGGTTGAAGAGGTGTTGCAGAATCGCACAGAGCTGATCTGCACAGGCCTTCAGGCTGAGGCTGACACCAGTGGCGGCTGGTGTATTTTTCTTCGGGAGGTGGCTACAACTATAAAATAGACATGGCACTCATGGCATGTTTCACTCCAATGTATTTATTAAACAAATTAAAATAATAAAACACCATTACAATGTGTAGAACTAGGTATTTTCCTGGGTTAGACTGGCCGAGTGGCGACCATCTTTGTAGTTCTTTATGTGTAGTCCCTCATTTTATGGTTATTGTATGTGGGATTGACCCCAAATATTAATCAGTTTAAGATACTAGTTCACTTATGATTTACTGAAAGTTTCATTTTGATCGTTTTATTTGTTTATGATATATCTTGCTAACAATAAGAATACATGAAGTGTGAATGGCCTCTGTATCTTGAGAATGGAAGCTGCACAGCCTGTGTGCAGAATGTGAGGAGTGAATGAGGTCATCTCGGTGGATGCAGTTAAAGTTCCTTTGTGTATCCACTGGCTGTTAGTATGGGTGATTTTCATAAGTAGTTCGTATCACTTGATTTTTTTTATTATCATTCATTATCGGTATTAATCCTTTGCATGAACTATTTGTTAATGCTTGTGTTTTACTTTTGCAGGTAGATAGAGATCCATTGGAGTCATACAAGCACTCCAGTGGTTAGCTAATACCAGTTAGATAAAAACCATAAATCATGTGATGGAGGGCCCAAAGCTTGTCCTTGAGAAGCAACGAAAAGCAGAGCTATGGGCGTTGACTGAAAGTATAATGGCTTTTGACTACAGAAACAGATTTAGACAGGCTGGGGTGACGGACGCACACTGTCTCCAGGTGATGATGGCTTAGGATTTTCCTGCCATTTCTCTGAGAGCTCTTATAAAATACTGTAGTTGTCTTGTTTCAATATCTGGTGTGTAATAAATTCACTTAAAACTATTTTTAACTTCCAGTGCAATTTTCTCAGTTTAGCTGTTTGCAGACAAATGAACTCAGCGAGATCAAAGGTGAGCCAAAGATGTAAATCCTGATCTCAACAAATTTCACGTAGTGTTTTTTTTTCTATACATAAATTTTGCCCTTCTGTTATAAAAAAAAAAATCTTCATTACTCTGGTTAAAGTTAGGGATGTTTTAGCAAGATTCTTCTCTATAGAGCATGGTCAGTGCAGTGAGATGTGATGTTGTGTACTTGAGCAAAGTCTGGATTCTCTTCAGTGTTGAGAAGCTCCTCTCAGAAATCTTTTGTGGCTCCTCCCCCAGTTTACCCACCCGGACACTGGTGGGTCTTGGAGAGGAGACTATGTCTCCCTCTTGAGCTGGAGGCGATGGATCAGACCTACAGCCACCTGGGGGTGACCTGTGTGGCTGAGTCTGATGTGTCTCCTCCGGGAGTCATCAGGCGGGAGGCTTGAGCTCGACCTTCAGCTACCCTCCTTCCAGTAGTCGCTCCCTTCGTGAACCCCAGCCTCTGGGTCAGCGTAGTAGCTCAGTATGCCCCCATTCACCGGTCACTACTGTTTCTCTGGTAGCCGCTCCCTCACAGGATGTGCACTTCTTGTTGTGGTCGAGATGAAATTTAGTGACCTGTACAATAGGTCTCAAGGGAACTGTTAAAGGGGAGTTATCCTATCTCCCCAGATTAATAACTATTAAAAATGAACTTAATTGTGATCTATGACCTCATTTTATTACCTTTCGCTTCAAAGTAACCATACTCTTTAATGTTATTACCTTGTTGCTTTACAGTAACAAGACTCTCTTGTAATCAGAGAAAAACCTTAAAGGACAACTTAAAAAATCAATGTCCAGTCAGATAATTAGTCTTTATGATGCTGTAAGCAGTTTAATAGGAATTTGCTAGAAACGCCACATTTGGTTATACAGATTAAGAATATTGATTGATAATTGATGGTGATAAAAATAAAACGCTCTAATATGCTGACCTATCTTTCTAATTAGGTGGTGTGGCATTTTCTGGTAATTTGGAGGCGGCAGGACAGGTTGGAGCAGTCTGTTTTACTCATGGGGTGCATCAGATTGTTGCCTGAAGAGATCTTCTCAGAGTTGGGCTGGGTTCAACTTGGTCTTCGGTCCTTAGACTCGCCGGAGGGGAATCTGTCAGCTTGTCCCAGATGAGATGATCTTCGGATCTGCTTGCTCCTCCGCTCGCCTCTGCTCTCGATGTCCTGCTGCTCGCTGCTTCTCCTCCGGTCGATGGCCACGAAGACTCTTTACTGCTGGACTGCTTGGCCTTTTATACCCTCTTTAGGCTGGCTCGCCCCCACCCCCCTCCTTCCTTTCTGTGGAAGGGTGGGGACTTCCATCACGTGTTTCTCTGTACTTTCCAGAATGAGGTAATCCTGCTGATTTTCTGCTGACTTTCTGCCAGGGACTTTTTCTGTGGTGAGTTAAAGCCCACATATCTATTTTTCATCATCACAGGAATACGCCCTGCCTTTTACCAGAAACAGCACACATACACTCAACCTTTCTTAATGTTAAGACATACTTTGATTCTTTTCTATCCTAATCACCATTTACATTTAAAAACACAATAATCAATACATTAGTTAATCATGTATTGCAATTAAGCATAATCATTACTTAGGTTACATATGTATTTTTGCCAGCATTAAAACTGATTAACTTCAAATCATTTCACTTCCTCTTTGTCATCTTATCTTCTTCTCTTCTCGGCCCTCACCTCGGATTTTCCTGTGGGTTCTCTTTCTGTCACGCTCTCTTCTCTGCTGGAGGTCAAGTGAGGACTCCCTAGGTCTGACTCCAATCCTAGTGATGACCGGAGCTGTCGGGTCTCTTGACAGGTCAGAGGAGATGTGATGAGAATCTTCAGCAGAGTCAGTCTCTGAGAAGGTGTCTTGTAGATTGTTCCTCATGAAGGGCTGGTACAGAGCCACAGCACTACAGCATTGGGTAAGCCTTCATGGTCTTTAGTGCTGCTTCAGAGAACTGGCTGTGGTCCTGCTGGAACCTGTCTGCCTGGAGCAGAAACAAATTTAATTCAATATGGAGATGGCTACAAGTGAGCTTTCTAATATACATTTAATATATAGAAAACAATTTGTTATTTTAATAGCAACAAATTGTTGCAACTCTAAGGTAAACATGTTATATTTTTATTTATAAAATATATTAATTTCATTAAAAATACAAAATAAACAAGAAAAAATATATAAATAAAATGAAAGTCATCAGAATGAAAAAAATATATCTCTTGTCTGTCCTCAGACATTCTGGTAAACTTTTACCGCTGCACCATTGAGAGCATCTTAATCAACTGCATCACAGTCTGGTACGGGAGCTGCTCGGCATCAGATCGGAAGGCGCTACAGAGGGTGTGTCTGAAAAGG